CTTTTCAGACTTTTTAAGGGGTAAAGAGAAAATATGAGGAGGTTCATTCTTGGTTTCTTGAATGATACTATGCTATGCTGGATGTATATGTGGTATGTATCATCATGAATAGGATTTATTGAATTTGGTGTGTATGATGGATGATGGATGATGATGGGATTGGTGAGAATTTGTATTCTCATATCAGGATATATTTGGCTGCCAATAACTGGTGAAGATTGATCAGATCATATTTGCCTATGACTTTCGCGATATGAATCAAAAAGTTTCGAAGATTCAACTTGTCTAGAGACGAGGAAATGAATACTTGAGTGTGTATCGTATAGTTTACTGAATAAACGCACGCAGTATCTCAAATACATTCAAATCAGTTCAGGTTGCACTACGCATAATTATAAGTTCTATGAATCAATACTCCTATCCTAGCTGGAGGGTTTAAACATTCTATACATCAAGATACTTCTGCTTATTCTTTTCGTGATAACATGATCCTTTCTTCAAGTGATTTTCGAGTTATACGGGCTTTTTATATAATTTCATTTTGATACATCTACCAGTTCATAAACATTAGTGTTGAGTATTTAGTTCATCATTGTTCATGCGTGTTTTGTATTTTCTCGATTTAAACCACATCTCTATCTCTTCGATTCATCAACTTTAGATCCTGAGGGTTTAGTCCGGAGAGATGAAATATACTCATTAATAAGAATTTGAAGTTGTTTCAAGTTCTCAATGTCATATTGGCTGAAAGTCCTTTTTATGTATCAAGGACGTAGAAATAAGTGAGTTTGGGATAGGAAAATGACAGGATGGTTATCTCATTGATTTCTTAGTAGAATTCATTACATCTATTGATCTATCTCTCTTTTTGAGAACTGGACTTTAGATGAATAGATAGATTTAAGAGGCTAGAGGTATGAGAAGTAGTGGTGTGGGAATGAATTATACTTACTTCTTCGTATGAGAGTTATATCTCATTTGCAATAATCTGGCTGGGAAAGATGAAGCTTGATCGTATTCTCATCATCTCATCTCATGCTTTCATAATCTTGCTTCTCGTTCAACGATACCTAGATAGGTACAGAAATATCGGGATCAAAAGTTTGATGTTTCGAATAGAGAGTACCTACCTATCCTCAGCATCTCGGTATATGTTGGATCTGGATGATTCTTCCTGATCAATGACTAATATTGAGTTGAGAACTGGTGAAGTTTATAGATCTATTAACATTTGAGATTCATCTCAACAGTCTTGAAGATAAGTAAATACCTAGGTAACTATCAACCCTAACATCCAAATCAAATCGGCGATATTGACTTCACTAACCCATTCTTAGCCCACGAATAACAACCTTATCCCAGTTTCTAACCATCCAACAATTCTCGACTCCATTGACTGATCAAAGAACTCACTACACAACCCAACCGGCAAGTAAACACCAATCCACAGCCCGCAGCCCGCTACCCGGTCAGCGGGCACCATCTCGGGGACCATGCATCCCAACAATTGTCAGATATCCGGACTTGGCTGCGGGATATGCATGAACATCCGAGTGCTTGGAAACTTGAAAGTCGGGATGCGGAGACGGGACGGGCTTCGTAAATTACTTGTTTGAGCTTGGTGCGAGGGGTGAGATGTGCAACAAATGGATTTTTATTTTGTTGTTGGGTTTTCGGTCCGGATGATGATGATGATGATTATGATGATGTTTGAGGGTTTGGATGTGGGATGTGGGATATTAGATGTGAGAATGCTGGGGTTGGTTCGCGTGAGGATGAATTGGGGATTGGTATTATGGTGGTGAGAGGATGTAGTTTTTTGGTGTTGGGAGAGGGGGACGGAAATTGGAAATGGGAGATTGGGAAAGAAGGTATGACGTGAGAGCTGCGTGAATGCTCGCTTTTGGGGGATTGCGATGAGTGAAGGGGGGTGAAGGTTTCAGATCGAGGTGACTTGGGAGAAATTTGGTGGGTCTGAGACTCTGAGTCTACGAGTGTTGACGAATCTGTTCGTGTGGCTGCTGTGCTTTGGGGGGGGATTACAAATTTACATCGAAGAACAGCGAATAAGAGATCCATGGAGTGAGTAAGATGATTGATTTTCTCGGTCTTGAACTTGGTCTTGCTGTTGGGTGGGTAGGTAAAGATGTTTGGTATGGATTTACGAGGATGTACTATATGTGTGTATAGATGATATGTAATGAGGTGAGATGAGAGGAAAGGAGTGGAGATTAACATCTCTTGATGTGCGATGCTTGGATGATGATTTTGGGGTAGGTAGGTAGGTAGGTAGGTAGATATTTTTAACAATGCATTAATTATGCGTACAATGAAGTTCAAACATCCCTCCAAATCCATACGCACATCCGAAAATCGGAAAAAATGAATCAAAAATGGATTATCCTGAATCTTCAAGCTTGATCCAGAATGTCTCTCACAGATCGACTCGTCATTCTCGAGACTGGGATATATTTTATGAGTTGAATAGGGGTATAGAAAGGGAGGCTGGAGGGTGGATGGTTGGAGATATTGTTATAGGATGATACGGTTATTTGTATGTATGTGATAAGTTGAGTTTTTCTTTTTGGGGATGATGTTGAGTTTGTGGGTGGGAGGGATTGAGAGAGGGGATAGGGGAAAGGAGAGAGATGATAAATGGGCGGGTAGGAGGGGATAGGAGATAGGGTCCAATTCGTGGAGGACTAGGAGTTGGGAGTTGGTATCTTTCATATTGGAGAGGATATGAGGAAAGAAGAGATATTTAGGAGTTTCTTGGTATGGTCTCTAAGGGATGAGCGGATTTACATATATGTGTGTGTGTTTGTGAATTTCTTACAGGATTCTCTGTCGACGGTTTACTCAATACTTCATTTTAATTGTAAGGAGAGAATCCCGGATGGCAGTTCTAATATCTCAGATATGCCATGAGTCTTTCCTCTTTATAATAGGATGAATATCATACTAACTAAAGAATATGATGATGTTATATGTGTTCAGCATCTAGTCGAGTAGACTAGATGCTCAGGAGGTTATCTCATGATTCACATTATGTGTCTGGTTTAAAGGGTTATAGAATGAATTATTGGATGGAAGAGGAAGAGGAAGAGGAAGAGGAAGAGATAATAATTATATGATAGAATAAAACCAAAGAATTTGTTCTATCTTGCGGATTCTCAAAGATAGTGATGATGAGAATGAGAATGATGAGATGGGATGTAGAGGATGTGTTAGTATTAAACATTCAGTTGGAGTTGAAAATAATTGAAGAGAGAGGTGATGAGCGAGTGAGGGAGATTTTAGAAGAAGTACAAAAGAACATAATACATCCAAGAGAAAACATACCGTTTGAGAAAGAGAAAAGGAGGCAAAGAAAAAACAAAAAGAAGCGAGGATACGAGTAGAATTATCAAGGATCGGAAAAGCAGAAATAAGAATAATAAAACAAAAAAGTAAATAGAAGGAAAGACGTAAAATACGAAATAATATTAAAAGAGAAGAAAAATCCTACAAGAGACTTAAAAGACGAAAAGGAGGAATCTAAGCGAAAAATCAAGAGTAGATGTAGAATCTGGATGAATACATATATACACTCCTCTGAATCTACATTCCAGATTTGATTTCAAATGAATATATAGAAAGGCTTTCCTCTTACTCTCCTTGTCTATTCTCATCTCCGAGTCAGTGAGTAAATTAATCACTAGATATTTCTCACCTACTCTAAGTCTTGAATCTTCGCGGGAAATTAATTCAGATATCGGTTATCAAGATATATACTAGTATCTCATCTCTTAAGAAAGAACAGCTTTCTATACTCTAATCAAGATCTATTCTCTTCTTTCTATATACATCTATAATAAGTAGATAACTATTCGATAAACATTATACTCTTACTATACATAATAGACTTCCCTATTATATAAGCAAATCTTGATATACTCGAGTATATAATCAAATCATACTCTCATTTTCATATCAAACCCTAGAACTTCCATATAATATAATCTATAAGAGATAGAATAGTACTTTAGAATCTATAATTCAATTTACTCAATTTTAGCTATCGATACATATTATATATACGTAGTATATTTAAAAAGTATACTACTCCTACATACCCCTCTATCAATCATCAATCAATCAATTTCTCAATCGCTAATCAACCCCCTCCCCCCCTCCTTTCAAACCACAATATCCTACCCCACCCACCAATCCCCAATCCCCAATCCTCTCACTCCCCTCCTTCCAACCCCCCCAAACAATCACTACTCCCACTCCTATCCATCTCTTATTTCCCATCTCCAATCTCCCATCTCCAATCTCCCATCTCCCCCCAAAACAAAACAAAACAAAATCCACAGATCACACACAGCAACTCAAAAAAACAGCAAAAACAATTTGACCTACGCAGGGATCGAACCTGCAATCTCTTGATTCGTAGTCAAGCGCCTTGCCATTGGGCCAGCAGGCCTGATTCATCTGATAAATGAATGGTATTTGTTGAAGAAATCCGTGAGTTACGCGCATATAAAGAAATTTTATGGTGGGGTGAAAGAATTTTCCAGAGAGGGGTTGTGTTGTATCGGGTGGGGCGGGGTAGTTTGGTTACCGGTGAGGGTATGTCTTTGTTTGCTAGTTTTGAATATATCGATAATGAGTACGGTATATTGTTGTGAAATGAATATTCTATCTTCTCTTCTGCAACAATTAAAGGTATTTCACTAGTATGCTATGCTATACGATTATGTAAATAAATTCGAGAGGGTTTATTTGTCGAAATCACATGCGATATCTATGAGATTCCCCAATTGTATCGAATTTTGACCTTGTGTAGAGGGGAGGAATATGGGAATTGGAGAGATTTGCTAATCAGTATCAGACGAGAGGGAGGAGGAATCGAGCTGTATGATGCGTGATATTCATTATCATTTTGGAGATCTATTGGTAGCAATGACGGAAATGCAGCACGTAAAGGTTTCTCGATTTCTCCCAATACTTCATATAATCATTTCATATAATGCTTGAAATTAAAGAATCCTTAGGATCCGAAAATACGCAGCATTGAGATGTCTTAGATCAAGATGTATTTGAAGACCTCGACCTTCCAAATAAACGCAATATCAATATCATATCATATCATACCATACATAGCAGCTATACAGCTGTGCAGCTTCAAAAACCCACCCATTGAGATTTTCATTCCCCATTTCTGCGCCAAACTTGAACCTTCCATCGTCAAAGACAATATGCAACCAAACGCCATCCATAGTTGTACAAATTTCATTCCTTTGCCATTTTAATTGCAATTAAAGACTTCCACCGGGCATCAATTTTGTTCCACTCTTCTTAATTTCTTCTTTCCTCTCTTGCATCTCTTGCATCAATTTGGCTTGTTCTTCTATCTTTCCACTACGCTTTTTGCGTGCGGCTTCTTCGGCTTCGACCCAAACTGAGGATGGAGATTAGTATGTTTCTTTTGATTGTCAAGTATAATTGCAATTCGTAGAAGCCCTCATGCGTCTCTCCTTATAGAATTTTTCTTTGATATCTCTGGAAATCCTCTTCATCCCAAGTCCCATCTTTCCCCAGCTTTCCCTTCTTAAAACAAATAACCCAAGAAATAAACTTACTTGGTCTATCAGTCTTACTATACTCCTTCAATCTTGCCACGAAGTTATCGAAATCCTCTTGTTTCCCTACTCGATTCTCCAAGCTGCGCTTCTGTAATTCTGGATTGTATTTCAGGAAGAGTTCTTCTTCTGTTGGAGAAACGTAGTAGATCAGAGCTGGACCGCCGACACAACACGTTAAGCCGCTAATAACAGAGGAGTCAGCACTTTGTTCTTGTTTTTGGAAAGGGGGACAGGAAAGATGTGGGAAGAAATCGAGAGTGAGAAAGAGGAAGGGATAGGAAGGGAAACATACGCAACCGCCATCTTGCCATACATGCGCCAGTTGGTGGGTTTTGGTGGCATAATTGCTTTTTATTAATTCAGTATATTTTTGTAACTTAGGTATAAAAATCAAAAAATTAGGTCGGCGATTGTAATATCTGATTTGTTTTCGGCGATGTAGTCAAAAGTTGATAATTTGATCAATGACATGATGATTTTCGGTTCAAAGCTGGGATCAGAGCTTGTTGTGGCTGTGCTTTTTAACGGAGATTGTGGCTGTGGTGGCGTAAGGAGAGACAAATTGGAGAAGAGTGATTTCATCAGTTTTTAGTTGATGTGATTGGGTTATGGGGAAACTGGGATGGGACGGAAATGAGAAGAGCATGGCTGAACCATTCCTGGATATGAGGCTATATTGAAGAGAACATTGCATTGAGGGTGCTTACTGAATGAGATTTTAGGTTGTGCTGATGATGCTCTCTCACTCAATACTCTTCCTAGGTAGTCCACGGGTAATCAATACTCGGGTAGAATGATCAGGAATAGCTGGAGATACACATCCAGACCTACTTCTTATATTTTATGATTTTCATACAGCAACTGCCGGCAGTCAAGATAGTACGCACACAAGTATCTACCTCGGAAATGCCATAAATACCTGATACATTCCACGCATTGATATCTATCTCTCTGCATTCATCAACTTCGGATGGCCAAGACATCTAATTATGCACGTCGTAATGCCGTTACAGAATGACTCTCTATTCAAAGCCCAGATCAGTTCAAGCACATCAACCTCCTCGCCCTCTTTATCAATTTCATTCATCCAGCTTGAATTGATGATTGATGACGAAGATTCGAAGACACAAGCCCCTTGATCTCAGCTGAACTCAATAAGATCACAAGATCCAAGATCTTTTGCATCTTATGTAAACTTGGTCTCTGAACGCCATGTTTCTCATATCTTCTCTGATACAGTGGATCTTATGAATCTCGTGGAGTAACTATCAACATGCTGGTTATAATGCGACAACCAATCATTCTTCACTCGGACCTGACTCCAGTTATGGCGGCTGGTGAGTGATGATGGGAAAGTTAAACCCCCTTGTCATATGTGTAACGCGCGAGAAATTGTTCAAAGGGTTGAAGTTGCATGCATATGAATAATAGAACGATGATTAGATTAAATATCCCATTCAATAATGCTATGTGATGTGCGGTGTATGCGACTAGGTGACTGATGATACCTACTATCAGATATATTACCAAGGAACTATCCGAATAATGGCTTTTCCCTCTTTGCACCTGAGACGAACTTGACTATCGCATGAACATAACATTGTCAACAACAGAGGAACCGAGTAACTTTCTTCTCCTGCACCAACAACACAACGACATAACTTTGATAGCCAGCAGCCAAGAGTCCAAGAAGTCGGAATATCGGAATCTTCAAAGTTAGTGACTGAAAATAGACTCCATATATTTCAACAAGAACCAACCACAACCAACAACATTCAAGAAGCTTCTTAAGTCGTGTTGTTGTGGTTCCATTTCGCGACAGACAGGCGCAGCAACAGACGACAAACAAGAGAAGAATCAGAATTGTCGCCAGCAAATCGAAATATCTGACCGAGATAACATCCCACAACCAAACATCACACACATCTCATCTCGTATACTGCGTATTGATTGATTGATCCCATCCCCATCCACCTTGTTAGCGCCCCTGCCCTCCCTCCTACCCTGCCCTGCCTCGCCCCCACTCCGCATTCTCTGAGACAACCACCCAAGCCGACCAGCCGTCTTGAACATTGAAAACCCTCTTCAAAATTCACAACTAACTAATAACATTACGCATTCTTTTTGTATTTTTCAACACAGAAAGATCATAATCGACAGAGACCCTCACTCAAGTCTTCTCTTCTATCACCCTTTACATTCACAAGTACTCTTTTTCGTGCGAACAAATACCGAGACAATCCTCAAACTTGAGTTGCGTTGTGGGGTTATAACAACATTTCCTACCTGGAACGAAGTGAACCAATTCCCGAAAGATTGATTGATCAACCCTTTCCAACAGCGACAGTCTCAATTTTTTGATTGCAGACCGAGTTTTCGAGCTTATTTAAATTTCTGGTTACGAAAATATAGATTTTTCAAGGGATTGGTTTCCATGGATTGATCGTTGTAGTGTTATGACAGCTGGTTAAGATTTTGCGCCAAAGAACACGAGGGCAAGGGCAATCGAGGTTGGATCGAATAAGAAGGAGAGACAAGAAGAGGAAATCATGACATATGATCAGGGATACCAGCAACAGTCACAGAGGCCATATAATGGACGAGCTTCCCAAAGACCAGGTCCAGCACAAGGATATCAACAAGCTCCCGCACAACAATATCCACAACAACAATATGATGACTATGGTCAAGGGGGTTATGGATATGAGAATTACGATAATGGATATGGACAAGATTACAATGCTGGGTATCAGGACATGAATGGCGGAGGCAGAGGAAATATGAATGGGGGTGGTTATGGAAATGTGAGCGGAGGGGGGAGAGGTGGTTATGCTCCAAATGCGCAGGGACGCGGAAGGGGGTATCCGCCAAACTCTAATGGAGAAGGTAGAGGTTATCCACCAAATCAAAATTATCCTCCACAACAAGAACAATTTGCGAATGGCAGAGGTGGGATGCCACCCAGAGGAGGTGGACCTGCTCCCAATGGTAGAGGTGGACCAATGCAAAGACCTCCTCCAAATCGTGTTGGGCATGGAGGACCACAAGGAGGTGGGTATCCTCCAAATAATGGTCCTGTGAATGGAAATGGTAGACCAATGGATGACCGTATGAGACCTGCACCAGGACGTGAGTGGAATAAAGTCGTATGAAGTGAATGTTTATGTTGACTTAATTTTTAGAACAACGACCTCGGAAACCTTTAGTGACACCTCCTAGATCTCCAGAAGCTGGAGCATCATCTTTTGATAGTCCTTTTCCTTCATTTCCAGGAGCAAAGAAGAAAACAGCAATGTCCACAGAACAGGAAATTACCAAAGGATTGGGTGCAATAGATATTTCGAGTCCCCCACCAAAAAGGCCCGGAACTGCTGGAAGTAGAGGAAGTCATGATAACTTTGGACCGAAGAGGGGTATGTCTACTGATGATTATGGCCGACCTTCAATGGACAGTCAAGGGAGTGCACCAAGAGGAGGATATCCACCTCAAGGGATACCAGATCAACGAAGAGGTCTACCACCAAGGAGTATGACTCAAGGTCCACCCAGACAAGATTTCCCAGAGAGAGGTGGTCCATCTCCAGGACAAGGATATGGCGGTGCACCTAGACAGAATGGTTATGGAGATCGTGGTTATGATCAATATGGAAATCCCATGTCACCAGTTCGAGATGATCGAGAAAATTTTAGTCCTCCACAACGAAGCATGACTTTGCCAGATGATCCTGGACCCATGGGAAATGGTCCTCCAACTTCTTCAATTGAAGCTCCAGGGATGAGTGCACCATATAATGGGCCTATTGGACGTAGTATGCCTGTTAGACCTGCTACAGCTACCGGATCAAGGCCACCACCACACAGAACATACCCAAGCCAACAATCTGTTCAACCACCTCCACCCCCACCTCAACAGCAATACCAGCAGGATAGTTATCAAGGTAATCCTTATGCTGACCACAATCCGGATGAAAGTCTTGGTCAGTTTTATGATGCATATTATGAAGCTCCACCTCCACCTCCCATACATAATCATACTGCGGAAATGCCAGATTTTGATGCGGCCCCACAGAGAATTCTACATAGAAGAGGTACCTCGATTGAAGCCCATATTCAACCTGGAACAGGTGGACTTGGGCCTGGATTTGATCCAATGGAAAGGAATGGCAACCTACGTCAAGTCAAACCTGTAAAATCTCAACCGGATTTCAGAGCTCAAGCCCAAGCTCAAACGGCAATTTTTGAAATGGCAGGGGATGCGCCACCAATTCCTAGCATGCCACAGCAGGGTTATCAAGATGGCTGGGGACAACAAGATACCCAATATAACCAGTATCAAGGCATGCCACAAGATCAAGTGTACGACCCATATCCTCCTCAAGCACCAAAGTTTCAACCACCGCCAAGAAGTATGTCTGCAGCCCCCGGAGCTGGTCGTGGAATGCCACAATCTGAATTTGGAGGGTATCCGAATGGCCCTTCGCCCCAGAATGGCGGTTACCCTGGTCCACAAAATGGAGGCTTTCAGGGTGGTCGTCAAAATAGTCTACAAAAGCAAGGCATCCCTGAAGGTGGTTTACCTCCTCATGCTCCTCCTGTCCGAGCTGGTCTAATACCTAATTCTTTCGCTCAACAACAACAAAATATTAAACCGCCACCCATGCGCAATTATGGGGGCTTTAATCCTCCACCTCAATCAAATACTCCGATACCGGTATCCAATGGTTCCTCCCCTGCAGGCCCTACTCCAACAAAAGCTCCCGCACAACCAGTAACTCAGGCCGAGCTAGATCGTCTGAGACTGAAGTATAAGAATGGTAATCCAAACGATCACGAGACTCCTCTACTTTTCGTGAAGAAATTGGTCGAAGCTTCGGATGTTTTAGTTGCGCCTCTTGCTGATCAACGAGCACGCAACAAAGCAAGAGAAAAGTATGTATTTGAAGCTACTAAAGTCCTTAAGAAATTGAGAGAAGCTCAACATCCAGATGCAATGTTCTATTTTGCAGATTGTTACGGTCGTGGTGCGTTGGGGCTCGAAGTCAACGAGAAGGAAGCATTTACCCTCTACCAATCTGCCGCAAAGCTCAATCATCCACAAGCTGCATACAGAACTGCAGTTTGTTGTGAACTTGGTAACGAGGAGGGAGGTGGTACTCGTAAAGATCCCCTCAAAGCTATTCAATGGTACAGACGCGCTGCCACTCTTGGAGACACACCTGCCATGTATAAAATGGGTATGATTCAACTGAAAGGACTTCTGGGTCAACCAATCAACCCTGGCGAAGCTGTTGTTTGGCTTAAACGAGCTGCTGAACGCGCAGATCCTGAAAATCCCCACGCTTTACACGAATTAGGTCTCCTATACGAAGCACCACAAGGTCAAAATACATCTCTCGTTCGCGATGAAGCATATGCCTTCCAGCTTTTCCAACAAGCGGCTAATCTCGGTTATAAATTCTCACAATTTCGCCTGGGCCAAGCTTTCGAGTATGGTCAATTCAATTGCCCAATTGATGCTAGGCAGTCTATTTTATGGTATTCTAAAGCTGCGGTCCAGGAGGAACATCAAAGTGAATTGGCACTTAGTGGTTGGTACTTGACGGGCCACGAAAACATCTTGCAACAAAGTGATACAGAGGCCTATCTGTGGGCGAGAAAGGCAGCAATGGCAAAGTTAGCTAAGGCTGAATATGCTATGGGTTATTATTGTGAGGAGGGTATTGGTACGCCAAAGAGTTTGGAAGATGCTAAGAGGTGGTATTGGAGAGCTGCCGGTAGGTTTTCTTTTCTTTTCTGTTTCATCGCAGCTCCTTGTCCTTCTTTTACTTTCTCTAGGATAATTCTTGAGAGTTTATGGCTGATAAATGATGTAGCGCAAAATTTCCCTAAGGCTCGTGAAAAGCTTGAAGAACTTAAACGAAATGGTGGAAAGCAGAGTAACAAGGGCAGAGAAAGGATCTCGAGATCTAAAGGGGCTAATCAGAAAAACAATGAGGAATGTTCTGTTATGTAGACGGAAATATTTCGTCTTTCTATTTGGTTGGAGGATGTAAGTGTGCATTGTAAATATGGAGAGGATGACAGGACTGGCTGATTCTCAGAAGAGAGAAAGAAACATGAGAATGGATGAGGATGACAACATGGATGAGGAAACGAAAGAGTGGATTATTGATATCAGGATTTTGGCATGGCATTCGGAGCATATTTGGATGGATCTGGAGATGATTAGAAAGATGGGAATTTTTGGGCGTTGGATATATTTGGAATGGAATGGGTTGATGGATTAGGGCGATATGATGCATGAATCTGACTAGAGTAGTAGCTGGATGGATGTGTATGTGTATTTTGCTGGCTTTGTGTGGGATATGGACGTGTAGTGGAGGGGCAGGTGAAGGAAGTGTATTTGGTGCAGTGGGGGAGGGAGAAGAGGAAAATAGATTGGAGTGGAGGTCAAATGTGTGTACAGATGTACAGTACCATGATAAGAAATCGAATAAATCAAATAAAAATTACATAATCATATAATCACGAAATCATTGCAGAAGCCTTGTCATAAATCCTTCGCTAGACGAAAGGTGATATGGAGCTGAGATGAGGTGAAATAGACAAGCGACTTTTCTCGCCAAATCACACCCCCCTCCCTATTATACCAGTTCCACATAGCAGAAAGAATCAAGAACACAACCACAAAGTGACAAGGAAAGAAAGAAACAATTTTCGAATTGGTGAAACTTAGGTATAGTAGTGTACATTTCCACCTCTTCCCTTCCATCCTTCACACTCATCCACGCTAAAGCTATCTATAATGAATTTTTAACTAATTCATCGAAATTTACTTTACCCCCTTTCATATACCTCAGAATGTAGATTTCGCATTGTATGGCATCGCATTGCAAGAAGAAGAAAAGAAAAAAAAAGGCAAATAGAAAAGAAGCCTCGCACCAAGGAAATTCTCTGTACTACGTTTTGTTCAATTCAAGTTTTCTTTATCTACCTATTCGCCAGAACGAACGAAAAGTAGAAAAGGAAGAAAGTTCGCAAGTTTTCTCTTTTTGGAACTTGAGTATGTTCTTGTTTGCGGTTTTCTATGAGGAGTTCCCTTGGCTATCCATGGGGAAAGAGCTATTCTCCCATATCATGTTTTTCATGTGGGATATATATTTATGATTTAACAACATCCTCGACCTTTCCCTTAACTTCGCGGCCAACCTCTGCTGCTTTGTCGGTGAGGGATTTGTTCTTTTCGCTGCGTTGATGGAGGAGGATACGGGTGACTTGGACGACACCGACCATGCCGAGGAAGAAGTTGACGGTTTGCGAGGCTTTGGGTTTGTTAGTTCTGTGTGCAATAATGGAATGATATTGGATTTGAAGGAGGACTGGAAAAAGTGAACATACAGAATGTTTCTTGGCTTGATGATTAAACACCATCGAGTCCAGATGATACCAGTGGCAGTGAGGGCAGCATTCTGGGTGAGAGAGAGCTTCTCGGCGGGACGAGCAAGATCAGAGATACCGGCTAAGACGAGTGCCCACTGATTGAGACATTAGTTATTGATCAACTGCTTTGAAAGGGTGACTTGGGGCGAGGAAGTGGGTTATGTGCGAGGAGAGTCTTTGGGAGCTTGGAAGTAGCTCATATTTGATAGATAAATAATTGAGGAGTGATAAGGAATTTGTTATACCTTCATGACAGGAGCCTATATCAAAGATTGTTAGCTTTTGTTCGTTTCTCTGGCAATGTGCTGTGCATTATGCAATTCCCAGTATTTCCAAATGCTATCGTCTCCCCTCTACGTGAAATTCCCCCCATTAAACATATGCCCTCTCCTCCTCCTGGATATTCTTCCCCACGTACCATTTCCCACCGACCAGCTCAAATACATTCCAATTCATAAAGCAAAGAAACAACCCAAACCCTACCAGAAATGCACAGTCTTCAAACCAATCGGACTATCCCACATTCTCTTGAACCAACTAACTGCGCAGTTTGCAGTGGCAGCAGCAGCCTCTGTACTTTGAAATCTCTTCGTTTGCTTTCCCGCAAAACGAGTTCGTGCAAATGCATTTCTGAATGTGGAGTATTGGCGCGCAGACGAGGAGTTGGAGGTGAAGAAACGAGATGCGGCGCTGCTGGAGGAGGAAGTTGAGGAAACGAATTTGTTGATAGAGGTTGGGTTGAAGCGCAGAGCGCGGGTGAGGGTTGAAGGGGACATGATGGTTATGTGTGAGGTTGTTGATGGAATGGATTGGGGGATTATGTTCTTGAAGTATCGTAGACGGATAGAAATAACTGTTGCTATGCCGGAGTTTAGTATTCGTTATATATCATTTGTCCGTTCTATGTATTCTCAAAGCAAGCTTCACTTTTCCCCCTTCTTGTTTGCATATACTAAAATTGGCATAGAAAACAGAATAAATGCCAGAGAATAATCACTTACAATTACTTCTTTTAATTTGATTTAAATCCAATCTTCACTTATTAAATCAACCAAATCCGAATATCCAGCTCTCTGGCTCGTCAAACTTTGTTGAACACTTTCTGTGCCTTGCCCGGTGATGTCGGAGTCCGTCCGGAGGGTGGCACGGGTGGCTAGTGAAATTATGTCTGTTCATAAAGGGTTGTGGCTGAATCCAATGGAAACCTTGGAAATCATGGTAAGAAGTACATATTTACGGTAACCATTGTGGACTCATAACGCAATATCAATATCTGGATAGCTTCACCTTGAGCTTGTAATTGCGACGAACCATTGAGTTTCCACAATTCGAAACTGTATTGCGCGGACGAAGAAAAGAGATTATAGACAAGAAATTGTTCAGAAAGCAAAGAAAAGATATCTACCAATATGTCGGCCAAATATGCATTCTCGCAGACCTTGAAGGAAGTCAGATTTTTATTTTGTCAGACCGGCGCTCAAAGTGATGCTACTAGGTATGATTTCCTCTCATATTCTCATACTCTGCCCGTATCTTCACCGCGCAGATTTTCTTTCCCCCCGGTCCCCCTAGACTGTCTGCTAGGTTTCCTGCAGTAAAGCTAGATCTGATAACCCCCGCTCTAGATCATTCCTCGCAAGAACATACCCAACGATGAAAAAGCACAACCCAAATACACCAATAATGTTGAGAGAGGCAGCTGGTACGCAACCAAAGGTTTACGCAAGATATGAGTTTGGAAGGGAGGTCAGTGAGGATTTGGCTGGTAGGTTGTTTTCGGTTTTTGTGTTGTGTGGTTTACAGTGTATGGTTTATCGTTTATGGGTATGGGCTTTGGAGGGATTTTCGGTTTGGGGGAAACATTGGAAAGGGCTAGATAGGAGGTGGGACGATAGGGTGATTTGACTGGAGTGAGGATGTGGAAAGGAGGGGAAAGATACGAAGATGGGTATGAGGGGAATTGCAGCGGGCGGGGCGAGCGAAACGAAGAGGGGATGGCAATGAGTCGGAGATGCAGATGGGAGCCCAGGACCTGAGAATCGGAAGAAAACGAGGGAGAATGTGGAATAGAGAGATTACAATGCTTGAACATAAGACAAATGCTAATACAACCCCATACAGGACTATCGGATAAAGAAATCGAGGACAAGGTTACAGGATTAGTCCAGCAATAGACAAGAGGTTACGAATGAAGTTACGGGTACAGATCTGTCAAAACCAGAGTCATAAAATGGAAGTCTTCAAATCGCTATAGAAAGTGAAGGCAAGGGGTCGTTGTACATATCCCACGAAGAGAAGATGAAGATAAAGCTTCGAAAGGAGATGCGATGACAAGCATCACGTTATGAACTCATGATTTTGAGATGTCTTGAGAAGAAAGCAATATTTGTGATATGTGAGGAGTTGCTATTCGTAGTACATGGAATGGGATTGAACGAGTGTGATATAAGTATATCCCTATTCTATCCAAATCTGCACCTTCCCCAAAATGAGTCTTAAAAAATAACTCATTCTCCTATTTTGCAAGATCTCCTTCATGTGTTTCCTAGCGCTCGGAATACCAAGCCATTGTGCATCTCCACTGTTCTTTTGCAGCATCTCACATATCACATCCCATACCAAGGGATTACACGTAGAGGTAGGTATTCACTTGAGACTCTAGGCCGACGCGTCATTCTTAAATCCCCTTTCCGTTCCGAAAATCCACTTCATATGACACATACATAAGAAACTTTCAATCTGATATTCATATATTTTGCTCATTACAGCATGCATGCATGTACATACCGATATCGCATGCTGGGGGCTCACTATCGGAGACTGCTCGAAAGGGTAGTCAGCGATGGCTTGTGCTCTATATTCGGAGGCTAGAAACTGTTGAACTTAACCGTTCAGTAACTTCGAGGTATTTGTATCAGTCCAAATTACGCACGCATGTGATTGGATTGAGAGATAGGAAAGCATCATTAGAATAATCACTAAGCAACACTCATATACTTCAGAGTAGAGATCTATATGGTATTCTTCTCTATCCATTTCTATATAGCCAGTCTAACCATCTAATCTATAACTCATGCTCAAATCTCGCTCTCAATCATATATGTGTATGTGTATTAGTATTTTATTAATTCCTCCATCCCTTCAAACATCTACAACTTGCTCAAAACAGCCTCGGCGCCGGAAACAGTAACCTCGCCCTTTCCGGGCTCCTTCTCTGCATATACAATCTTTCCGTTGTCAATGATGAGAGCGTAGCGACCGGTACGTTCGCCATCGGTCCAGCCGAGGAGCTTGGAGAACGCACATTGGTTGTCGGAGAGGAAGAGCTGGAGGGAGAAAGATTAGCAAGGTTCTTGAAGGATCAAGACAGGAAGGTGGGAGTTGACATACAATATCCTCATTGTGAATTCCATTTGCCTTTCCCCATGCGCTCATAACGAAAGGATCATTGTAAGCAATGGTAGCAACGACATCGACGCCCTTCTCGCGGAGAGCAGGTAGATTGGCAATGTAGCCTGGTAAATGCGATGCGCTGCAGGTAGGGGTGAATGCACCGGGGAGGGAGAAGATGACGACTTTCTTGTTGGCCCATTCTATGCATGGTTAGTGAGGATGAACGGAAAGGCGTGGGAGAAATTCATCCATGTGCGTACCCTTGGATGCATTGTAGATAATTGGCATTCCGCATGCTTTGATATCTGCGTTTTCGGGGGCAGGTGGGATCCAGCCAAACTTGACGCCCTCTGGGAGGGAGTCACCGAGCTTCAAGGTTGCTTCAGACATGTTGAGATATGTGTATTTGTATATTGAGGGGTTGTGTGTGTGAGTATATGATTGCTTGAATGCAAAGGTAAGATGGTATTGTAGAAGATGAGAATAGAAAGAGGAAGGTCGCAACAAGATTGTCTCTCTTCAATATATAAATACTTCTCCCGCAACCCCCTACCTATCCAGGTAGGAGGTACCTGTAATCTGATATCGCACCCGTAGTCGGAGACACATCAATTGATTCATCGCTCCACCCCACCACTAGCTTCCTTCTAGAATATCCCATCTCACCCCACTACAAGCTTGATTCCTCTTTGTGATTGGCTGGTTGCTGCAGACAAGGGATCCATTCATACTTTCGATTTCTCATATTTATTGGGAACTCGATATCGTCCCTTGTCGACCTTATTGCTGGGCTCGCTGGGTCGACCGGTAGTGACCCTGAGCTAGAACATGGTTGATTTCAAAGATATGATGTGTTTACAAATTACGTCAGACTGCTTGCATAATCACGAGGTTCTAGATTTCAAGCTATCTAGTACTTGAAAGAGTGTTAATTGAATATATTCGAATAACATCTAAGATTTCAGAATGTAGATGATAGTTATTGAATTTCAGATATATTGTTCAGACATAATATAGTTGGAATTCAAAGATACAATATATTTGCAAATTATATTAGACTGTTTGTATATCTTGGAGGTTAGCTTTTATAATAATAAGGAATAGTATTATTATAATGATAGTGGAAGATCTAGTCAGTTTAAGCTTGAGGGATAAATCGAATATATAGAATAAGAGTTGAATTGAAGTCAATTTAGAAGAGCTAGGCTGAGTTGAGATGAATTGCTTGCTTTTTCCTAGATTTTCTTTAAAGAATATTCTAGGTTTATATAGTTTATAATGAAATTCCAGTATATTCTATGCTTATAAATAAGATCGATTTAAATCGTATCTTATAGAATCATTTTAGATAATAAAAAGAAAGTACAACCAATCAATTTAGCGATATTTCCTGTATATTTCTATCTAGTTTCATTTCATTTTATTCCATTATAAATCAATTTGATAAGAGATACTATTATACAACTATATGATAATATGATTTTATAATATAAGATTATATTATATGTGTATTAGTTATCAAGATATCCCTTATTTAGTAAGATATTAATAAGTGATTTAGTGGACTTATTGTCACGGGATCACTTCTGGGAGTATTCAGAAGCTTTACCGCTGAGCTAAACGCCCAAAAGACTAGAAGGTAGAACTGGAAGTTCTACCTTACTCTCACATATATAGCAGAACAGGACAGGACAGAAAAGACTTAGTGTCACCCCATAACACCACCCCCCTCCTTAAGGTATAGTCTCCATACCATCACCTACTAAAAGGTTTCAGGATTCTGGATTCTAATGCCTTAGGCATTCAGACAGGTAGACAGGATCTATATATGCTAGCCCCCAGACCAATGGCCTGTAAGTTATAAGTGGGCCCCCCACACAGCTCCATTTATAACCAAGGATAATTCTACCTAATATCACAGGATCACTTCTGAGAGTATTCAGAAGCTTTACCGCTAAGCTAAACACCCAAAAGATTAGAAGGTAAAACTAGAAATTCTACCTTACTCTCATATATATAGCAGGACAGGACAGGATAGAAAGGGCTTAGTGTTACCCCGTGACACTTATTATGAATCCTCACATATCCCTTTAATAGGTGTATTAAATCAATTTTATTATATATCTTAATTCAGATTGATCTGATTTGTGAATTCGATCAATTTAATTCGAGCTAATGGTTTAGTAAGCCCATTAGCTTTCTGTTTATTAGTAGATATATAAATTAGGTCTAAATCCCTTGATTTAATAATATTTCTAATATAGTAGAATCTGATTGCTATATGCTTGCTTCTTTCGTGGAATATTGTCACAGTGTGAGCTCACGTGATATGCTAGTCCTATCGGAGAGAACCGAAAGGAGCGCTCATACCGGAGCACAAGCGAGCTAGAGCCCAATCGAACTAGCTTGTTGTAAAAATTCTGTATATCTTTAACTTAGAAGATTCTGTATTATAGCTCCTTAAACTATATCTTAATCCTCAATCTGAATCTATTATCCGAATCAGTATAACTTTGCTAGATTAGGGTAAAGTTACTAGAACTTTATCCCACCTGTCTATCCTTATAATACTATATAGTTTCTATCTATTAAAATATCGTTTTCACAATAACTACTCCGTATTCGCCTAGCCGGTTTAGGGACTTCTTAGAATTTGGTGTTTTTATATTGGAGGACCCCCAGATTTGGTATTAATATCTCTAGTCAGTATCTGTATATTATACCGAACTGGAGGAGACCAATAGATCGCTTGAATGCGAAATTTCCGAAATCCCTAGTTTGCAAATGTATTCAAACTGTTCTACACGAATAGGTTGTTATTCAAAATGCCTGTTTACTCGATTGTTTTACTAATCTATGCTTATTATACCTGCTCATTTGGAAATCGTTATTTCCCGAAACTCCTGCTGACTCTGTTTTTGAATCTATTATACCTGCTCCGATCACTCAATTGAATAAGTATATCCCCGATTCGAAAGAGTTTGATAATACCTGTTCCGATTTGCATAGATTTATTCAATAAATACATGGAAAATTGAATACAAATAATGATAAATTCCCAATAATTTCTGCCCATTTGATTTACACTACTAAAAGACTTACTGGAAAGGTATACAAGCTTATACTACCTAAGATCTTTTGTGGAATTCCTAGTTCTGTGATGATTGCATCATTTAGAATACTAAGGTGAAGAGCTAGAAGAGCTCTTCGGAAGGAAGTGGTAATATACAGGATTGTGGATCACGTGAGGACCTAGCCGATCCACTAATATGATAGGATCGTTACACTACCCCCCCCTTCTGAAAAGCTCGCCCTCGAGTGTATTAATAGTATTCTAAATACAGTTCTCTAATCCAACTATATTATGATCTATATTCTTTATTACCATTAATATCTGATTTATAGTTCCAATACTAGTTTCAATATTGCCTATAATATAATTCATAGCATTGTCAATCGCTTTGTGGAAGTATATGTTTTGCAGTTTTATTACTTTTGTGAGAAAGGCTTCGAAATCAATAAGAGAAGGTTTCGAAAATTGTTGAAAAATAAAATGAGTGAAAAAGAGGAGATCTACTTGAAATGCATTTCTTGTCGGTGGTGCCGATGGAGTGGCGGAAGTATTGGTGGAATGCGGATTGGTTTGGCAAATCAACTGAATAAACTGTTTCGTTATGGCATTGATTGTATGAGCATATTGATACTTCGAATCGATTAGTTTCTGTAGTTTGCGTGTTAGGTTTAGGATTTTCGAATTCATTATCAATAGAATAAGGAGACTCTAAATGATATAATAATGAGATATCAGTTTGTTGGTGGGTGAGGTTCGCAGGAGTGGAGCTAGGGAGAGGTCTTGATCGAAGGTTGTACGAATGGTTGTATCGGGGGAGCGGGCGTGGAAGGCAATAGGCATTCGGCGAGCGGGCTAGCGATAGGAAGCTTCGCAGGAGCGATCAAGAGCTTAAAAATTTATATGACCTTAATATAATGTGATGATTGTATCATTTAGAATACTAAGGTGAAGAGCTAGAAGAGCTCTTTGGAAGGAAGTGGTAATATACAGGATTGTGGATCACGTGAGGACCTAGCCGATCCACTAATATGACAGGATCGTCACAAGTTCACTGATTATATCACATTTCTCGAATATCTCGAAAACGCTTTTGGGGATTTTGATCGAATACAAAACGTATAGAATAACTATATATACTAAAGCAAAGATATCTCGATTTTAATACCTTCTTCACGGAATTCTAGAGACTTGCTTTAGAAAGAGAAATACCTGATAATACTCTAACCCACTCCTATTTCAAGGAATCTCTTGCAAACTATAAGATATACTGTTATTAATCCCATTTCGACCCGTAAATTTCATTAATACACTAATCATCTATAATAATTTGATAATTGATTCTATAATACTAATAACAAATCCATTATATTTGTTTTATTACTTTCGAAATTTCATTTTGAAGAATAATCGCTATTCTGTCTTTATAACTCACTAGCCCAAAATCTACTCCTAGAGACTTAATAGATCTAAGTTTAGAAAAAAAGGAATATACTGCTAGGAATCTGGGTTCGCAGTGGGAACGCAGCAAATATTATTGTTATGGTTTTGTTAGTTATTTGATACAAGACTACCCGCACCCCGATACCCATCCTGTTCAACTCTAAATTACCATTACTACAATCAGCTATACAAAAACCAGTCTTGTATCAAACAGTCCTTTAAGAGACTGAATCTCTATTTGTTCCCCACTTCGCTTTCCTCCCCGCTCGTTGATCAGCTCAGTTAATTCGGGAAACGGGATATATCTAATCTAAATTACAATCAGGATAATCCTCTGTGTACCCTTTGCTTATCTATTATTACTATTTATAGCCTTTCTTTAAAAGATAATTAAATAATCATATGGATCTGATAATTCTATCCATCACCCTGCTTTTGGAAAAAGATACCTGCTTGATATACACTATAGTTAATAGTAAATGCGAAGGAATTGCCTTTGCAAATCGAAGCTGAATATCTTTCCAGAAAATACTAGTACACTAATTGTCTACAGCGTTCGAAGTTATAGGATTCGATAGAAACACCTTGCCCGATAATCGAGTTACCTCCTACATCCAAATAGAACTCAGAATCAACGATTATATCGAGAAGAAAATCATTTTATATATAACCAAACTAACCCACTATCCTATTGTACTGGGGATAGCTTAATTTAAAAAACACAACCCCCATATCGACTTCGCAACAAACTCGTTCCAATTCGATAGCTCGTTTGCTATGAATTTTGTAACACTTTGTTCCGCCTATCCCACATAAAAGCTCTACCAAATATTCCTCTAAAGCCTAATCTATACACCTACCTACCCGCCCCAAAGGG